CCCAGAGCATCTATGTACCAAGTTTCACCAAAATTTGATTCGTGGTTCTTGAGATAACGGTGGAACAAAAAAAGTGACATACATACATACATACATACATACAGACATACATACAGACAGGGTAACTGCAAAGACTCCCTTTTGTGCTTCGCACACAGGAGTCAAAAAAGGCATGGGTTAGGCTAACAAACACAGAATGAAAAAAAAACGTCATGAAATGAAAAAATCTGACAACTACACCGCATCAGATAAAGGAACCTACATATCAAGTACCGATCAAAGCAATTAAATAATGATCAACAAGTCATTGTCAATGACATGTCCCCGTTCCATTCATATTTGAGTGACATATACATTCAAAGCAGATCATGACCGAAATCTCAGACCACTTTCAGTGGTCTGATCCGAAATGCACCTGCATATGTACAACACATTGTATGATGTGTGTGAAGTCTGGTCTTGATCTGATCAGGCATGTCCGAGATATGGATCAAAAACTAAATTCTTTAAAACAAAATGGCTGCCAGTCGGCCATTTTGAACTTGATCCGCAGAAAAAATTGGTGTGCATCAAGCTTATATTATGTTTAATATATGCACTAAATCTGAACAAAATCCATTCATGCACGACTGAGATCCGGTTCTGGAATTGTGAAAATATGTGATTTTGATGCATTTTCAGCCTTAAATGGCCATCATTCAGCTATTGCTAAGCGGATCATGAAACAAATGCACATATCAATTTGTGACATGATGTACCATGTGTGTGTGAAGTTTGAACTTGATCAATCCAGACATGTCTCGGATACGGATCCAGAACTGAATTCTTTAAAACAAAATGGCCGCCAGTCGGCCATTTCGAACTTGATCCGAAAAAAAAAAAGACGTGCATCAAGGTCCTATTATGTTTAATGTATTTACCAAATTTGAACAAAATCCGTCCATGCATAACTGAGATCATTACGTCCGAACCGGGACTAAAAATAAATTCATTGTGACCTAAATCCCTTGTTTGTAAATGTACCAATAGTTTGTGGACACCTATTTTATTTTCACAACATAACATTATTGCCCAGCCGACTAGACACTATATGGCTAATGATATATGTAACTAATCTACCCTGATGTTGCGGTTTGTGCATGCACGGAGCTAAGTAAAAAGAGTTCCAGGGTGCAAGATATTGACAATACAGTCCCAGTACTTCTCTTTTTGTAATACCAGCTATTGGCAGTTTTGTTCTGTATCATTGAAAGATATTTGTCAGTGCCTAAACAAACTGAAATTTCAAGTTCAGTGTCATACATGCGTGAATCCTTTTTATTCTGAGAGAAAAGGCCCAGCAGAAGAGACAATTAAAATGGCATTCGTTGCATTGTCGATTAGTTTTCACAGCGTGTGCTCCAGATATGTTATTTGTTGGAAACAAATAGAACACAATTTATGATCATAACAATACCGTAACTTTATTAGTTGACAGGAAGAGTGTTTCACTGTTGACAGCAAGCGATATAAACTCTCCCAAAAACCATGAGAGTCGATCAAAACATGTCAATAAGTCCTTTCAAAGTGTAGCGTAGAAAGGTAGCACATGGAATTAACACTTCCAGTTGAAAAATAACATCTGGTTACCAAGGTAGTGACTGGGCGGATCTCAACATAATCACATACCTTTTTATTGTCATAATCACTTTCTCTTTGTGGAAAGTTACTTCTCGTTGGGCGGTTAGGAAAATTAGTCTTCACATGTCTGGTATCACCAAATGAATGAGTACCCCGGGGTCCACTGTTTGGAATAAAAAAAAGAGACTGACATCAATTAAATATAAACTCAATCAATAAATTCAGAAGTATATATACATGTCATAATTTTACCATCATCTGAATCATACAGTTTTGACACTTCAATGTAAACATGAGCCTATGCTCGACTCTGAGTAGTTATATATTTGATCTCGGTAAAATAGATAGATCTTATTGGACATGTTCCAATCAAAGTTGAGATAAAAACAAAAGAATGGAATGTCAACTTGCCAAAGAGGGCGCACTTTGATTCACACTGGCTGACAGGATGTATTTCATGTGATTTAATTTATTATTCATGCATGACTCATGCTCAGGAAACAATAATAAGAAGTCATATGGAAACAAGTTAACCTTTGAAAGCCAGCACTTTTCCTGACATCAATGTAAAATTTTATTTTAAATTATTATGGTTAAAAAGTGATAAAGTAGTTTACTACTAAAAAAGTGCATCTCACACTTAAATTTCTACAGAATCAACCGATGTACCGATAAAGTGCATCAACCATCTTTTCAATCTGAGTTATAAAAAAAATTTTTGAGATAGATAACCAGCTCGAGTACTCTCAGACACATCCAATAGGTGATTTTCCATTCAATGCAAGATGTAGCAAAATGTGTGAAGGACGTGGATCAAATGATTTTATTATTAACTTGTATTTATTTTTTATAGTTCAATGTCAATGCCTACTGTAGAAACGTTTAATTTCGCATGTGTTTAATTTAACTGTTTTGAGCTGTCCAAAGATTTCGTGGATTTTTGGAAAATAAAACAAAGGGTCACACCACATGAAGCAGTCAGTCAATGTCTTGTTGTTTTCAGACACGTGCAGCCTTCAACCAGTATTACACAACAACTATTTGCAGCTCATTGCAGTCTGGCACCTATTTACTGTATCCTTTATATTAAATACTAAGCTTTTGGACACTCCTCGATAAATTCGCAAAATTAAAACCACGCGAATAATTTCTACTTCTACAGTATCTTTCAGAAAGAAATATGGCATTGAGATGTGCTTACTTAATCAAAATCAAAGAAAGCTTAGAAAGAACTCTCGTGTGCTGAGAGTATTAAAGACACATTAAAAATTAATTAAAAATTACTTGTACAAGAGATATTGATGGAAAAGCTGAAAACTAATTATGTAAATCAGGTAACTAATATGAACAGAACAGAACAAAAAAATTATGAATTATTATGCTAACTAGAGAATTAATATGAACAAATTTTAACCCAAAATTAATCAGGCCGACTATTGTTCTAGAGCATTTATGTACCAAATTTTATTCAAATGTGATGATCAGAAATTGAGATATCAGTGTTAATTAATTATGTTAATTAGGTGATTAATAAGCATAAATATTTACCAAAAACTAATTGGGTCTCTGCATAGTTCTCTTTAAAAGTTTCATTAAAATCTTAAGTACCAAGTGTCATTGAAATGTGATGATTACTGTTTGAAATATCAAAAGCTGAAAATTAATTAATTATGCAAATTAGGTAATTAATATGTACTGATATTACCCTAAAAACTATCAGGTCTGTGCAGTGTCCTATGACATCTATGTACCAAGTGTCATTGAAATGTGATGATTACTACTTGAAATATCAAAAGCTGAAAATTAATTAATTAGGCAAATTAGGTAATTAATATGTACTCATATTACCCTGAAAACTATCAGGTCTGTGCAGTGTCCTATGACATCTATGTGCCAAATCTCATTGAAATGTGATAATTACTACTTGAAATATCAAAAGCTGAAATTTAATTAATTATGCAAATTAGGTAATTAATATGTACTGATATTACTCTAAAAACTATCAGGTCTGTGCAGTGTCCTATGATATATATATGCCAAGTTTCATTGAAATGTGATGATTACTACTTGAAATATCAAAAGCTGAAAATTAATTAATTATGCAAATTAGGCAACTATTATGTACTCATATTATCCTAAAAACTATCAGGTCTGTGCAGTGTCCTATGACATCTATGTACCAAGTATCATTGAAATGTGATGATTACTACTTGAGATATCAGTGGAAAAGCCAAAAATTGATTAATCATTATGCAAATTAGGTAATTAATATTGCACAGATTTTTACCCAAAACTAATCAAATCTGCGCATTAGTTTGGAGCATCTATATGCCAAGTTTCATCAAAATCCAATGAGTGATTCTTTAGATATCAGTAGAACAGTCATGGAACAGCTAAAAATCAGCTAATTATCATGCAAATTAGGTAATTAATATGCATGGATTTTTACCAAAACCTAATCAAGTCTGCGCATTTGGCCAAGAGCATCTATGCACCAAGTTTTATCAAAAATCAATGTATGGTTCTTGAGATATCAGTGGAACAGACACACATGCACATACACACACATACACACACATACACACACAGACACACAGACAGACACACAGACAGACACAGACACACAGACACACAGACAGACACACAGACAGACACAGACACACAGACAGACACAGACAGACACACTAACTGCAAAGACTCCCTTTTTGTGCTTCGCACACAGGAGTCAAAAATAGTTTTGCGTTTGTTATAGAGGATCTCCAATGAGTGACCGTGTAATATCGGATTTATTAAACGAGTGTAGTAATAGGAACATATGAAAATTACTACACGAGTTTAATAAATCAGATATTACACGGTCACAAATTT